CACTCGGTGTGTTTTTCAACAGATTGTTTCGCCCATCAACGTCAACACATCGCTATCTCTATGCCTATATCTTTCTGTATCACCTAAGGTGTGGGGTGATGAAGTGGAGCTCTTTTGGCACAGCCCATTAATGCATTTGCCGGGAAATTCATTTTAAATGGAGCTTAAATTTAAGTAAAAGCAAGTATATGTGGATATGTATCTTTGAACTGCATGAAATTCGCATTATTTGCTTTAGAAATTACCATGCCATCCCTATTGACACAAGATAGTGCCTCTTTTTTGGCCTAAACCTACACTTTTCAAGGGAATTCATGACCCTTCCGCCAAACCGCATCGATTCGGATTCCTTCTTGGCACGAAACTCATTCTTTTGGCCAAATCATAAGCAGCAAGCAAGGAGTAAAGACAGGCCCAAACGGAAAGTACAAAGTGCACTGAAAGAAATTAGCCTTTAATCTTGATCCTGAATTATACTATCAAAGAAGCTAGAATTTCACAAGAGATATAAGTTGGAGTAACTAAAAAGGGAAAATATGCCTTAATATTTCGCATTATTTTATTTAAATATAGTTAGTTTTCCCTCAGTGTACAAACCATCTATATTATCATTATTATAATATTTTAAGGAAACTACAATTCCAAAAGAGAATAAACTAATTTAAAAGACTAGATAACTAAGAAGGGATACTTTTGATATCGTTATACTAATCCCATAAAATCCCATTTATTTCCCTCAGTGTACGAACCCACCAACTGCACTGGCATTTTGATTTTTTCCGCGCTCTTCGCTCTTTTTTGCATTTTGTTTAGCGCTGCGATTTGAATACAGAAATAAAATTTTACGATCAAACAAACTATTCGTGCAGAACATTGGGAAATTGTGTTTACGTTCATTGGAACGGTGCCTGGGCAATGGATATGGATACCCCTGCTTTCCAAAGGGGGGAAATTCTGGGAAAGGGGGGGGGGTACTACGGAGGGGTATATGGTTTATATAGGTTATATGGTACCCGGTATTGGAGTGTCTCTCCTGGCCGGGTGAATGCGAAATGCCGAATGCATTTCAATAATTTGCCGTCGAGGGGCCGTCGCTTAGAAAATTATTATAAATTTAGTTGCTTTTGTTGTTGTTCTCCCTCCCCCCCCCCCTTAAAACCACCCCCCTCCACCCCTGCGAGTTTTGTTGTTGCTGCATTGCCATTATCGTTGCCTTGCTGCTGGCTTTGTTTTTGTTCTGCTTCAATAATAATTTTGACCCACTTTTGCGCTCGACTTGACTTTTTATTGTACTGAAATTAAGTATTATTTTTTTCGTTTTTCTTCTTTTTGCCAGCGGTTCTGCTCGCTTCTCGGTTCTCGGCGCATTTTTGAGGGCAAGACAAACAGTCGCTCATAATAATATTTGTACACAGTCTCTCTAGCCAGCAGCCACAGTGAAAAACAAGCTAAATAAAAGTGGTTAACAAAAAAAAAAGGCAAATATTCTTGAAGTCTTGGCTAATTGCCGCTGCTAGCCAACTTGGATTTGAATTCGGTTTTTCCCCCTTTTAAGCCGACCCTAGACATTTTGTTGAGCGCTTTTCCTAAGATGTTATTGACGTCATTGTTTATGCAGCCTTCGTCACTGGAATTTTCTGCCAAAGGGTAGCTAAAATGCTTCTCAGCCAATTTACATTGGAAATCGGCTATCAAATCGATACCATGACTAATGCATTAGTTAAAGCCCCAAGTCAATTTGGCTAATTGACTGTAAGACATATATTTCTTATAGAGTTTTTCCCTGTCTTTAAAACTTGTTGAATAATTATTTACAACTTGTTATCGTTGTTCTGAATTTGTTGTGTATTTTTTGTTGATTGCGTTCTTTATTAATTTTTTTTTGTTTTTTGTTTTTGTGCAACGGTAAACTTGTTTTTAAATTATTTTTAATGTTATTGTGGTTTTTTTTTTGCGCTGTTCTTTTGCTTTTCTTTGCTCGCTGCCAGTTTCCCATATTGTTTGTTTTTGCAATAAACAACAGAGGCAGCTGAATGCAACTGCAAGGGGGGTGGTGTGCCAAGAGGGGGGCATTTTGCTCCCCCTTCGGCGGTTGCTGTTGTTAATCATTGCAATTACAACAGCAGCGGTGGAAACAACAACAACATAGTTAACTATAACTGAGTAACCTGGCCAATTGACGCTTACACGCTTTCATTAGACGAACGACCCCAGCGGGTTTCGGTGGGGTGTTTTCCTATATGGTGTATACAGCCGTATAGATGGGGTCTGTCGTCCAGTCGAGCGTTAAAAATTAGCACTGACGCAACGCATTCGCCGCGTAAATTGACATTTACGCGATAATTACGCGCTTATTATATTTATTACCACTTTTTTTCCGCATTTAATTCGCTTCCATTTTTCCCCCCCACGGTTCTAGTTTTTTATGATTTTCTTTTTTTTTACTGCCATATCATTATGCCTTCTTTGTCTGTCAACTGCAATTGCAGTTGTTACAGAATGTCTGGTAATGAAAGGTTGTGGATGGACTTGTCTACTTGGGAATCAAAGATGATTTGCAGTGGGATTTTCCCTACTAAAAGGTAAATATTATTTAATCCACGACGCTTGTTTACCAGGTGAATTAACGCATCATGGAAAATGGTCGGAGAAATAAAGAATTGTTTACTCAAACTATCAGATCGGTTGCTAAACTATGTAAATTAATAACAATAAAAAGAAACGCATTAAAAAGAAGCGCGCGCACACGTAAGCGAGAAAATCACATTTTAGATTAGCAAAGTTAGGAGGGGGTTTTTTATAGAGAGGGTGTGGAGGGGGGTTTTGATATTACGTCGCATTACGGGAGAAGCGCGTGTCACGCGGTGGGCGGCAGGAGGGGGGCGTGGCAGGGGAGCGGTTCCGTGCAAGGTGAGCGAGTTGTTATCATTACACGTGTGTGCGAGTGCCGTCTCGCTCGCTCTCGCTCTCCAGATGGCATATCAAAACATAAAGAATATGGCGACGATAGACACTCACACACAGATACTCGAAATCGCGAGAGCTTTGTGCTTACAGCTTATTTGCGTATCTGTGTGGGAGCGAGAAAAAATACTTCCGCATTCGCAGGCGGGCTTCGAAACAATAACAGAATAAAATGAAAAGAAATACAAATAAAACTGGAGGGGCAATGATAAACTAACTGAAATTGCGGCAAGCCACCGGCAATATTCGTTTTCGTTTTCGGTTTCGGTTTCACAACTACAGGGTGTCCCCCTTAAGTGCCACATGCTACTTGCCACATGCCGCAACTCGCGTTCTACGGCATTGTAATTAATTAAATTAAACTGGCCCAGCAACTTGCGCTGAACTCAATTGAATTTTATTTGAATTTTATTACAGCCAGCGGTCACAATGAACTTTTGTTTCCTTGGCCAGCGACAGCAGCAACAGGAGCAACATCCCAGAAGCAACAGCAGCAACAGTTGCAACACTAGCTGCAACAGTTGCAAGAACAGCAGCAACATTGCCGCCTGGCTTTGGTTTTAGTTTTTCCAGCTGTTTTTAGTTTCGACTTTGGATGGGTCGGCTGGCATTTGCGACGCAATTACAAGTGCCCCTCTGTGCCGGCAAACCCCCACCCCATCCGAACACCCCCCCAAAACCCCACACCCTTGGCTGGACATGACGAGCCATATTTTGCCGCCTGCCTGCGCTTTTTGTTTTCAGCTCCCAGTTCCCTCTTTTCCATTTTTCCTCTATTTTTTCTGCTTGCTTTATTTTGATTATTATTGTTATTATTTTTATTATCAATTGAGAACGTGGCCGGCATTCAGCGTTGCCGCGATGTTGCTGCCTTTTTGCACACTTGACTAATAGTTTCGACTGCGGCGCGCGAGGCTTATCAATTGAAATTGAAATGGAATACGCAACCATCAGTGGCGAGTGACAATCGCCTCAATTGCAAGTCGGAAACTTAATGCCCTACACTTGCCGAGATATTAATGGGGCCAAGTGACCAGCTGAAATATCTAGCTCACTCATGGATACTCGTGTGTTCTGTGTCAACCTGATTTGGCATACACTTTGATTGAAATCATTTAAGCAAAAGTATCTTATTTTGACCTAAATTCCTGCTGCATGGTAACACTAAGCCGTGTGTCCCTATTATCACCATATTCCCCGTAGCATGGTCACACTGATGTATTAAACTGTCTGAAGTACACTCTGTGCTGTGCCAAATAAAGCCCCCATTTTGATTAGAGCATTCACTTAGACTATGACACCCCGCCCGACTGTTTGCCTTCGTAATCAAATGTTAGTATTTCGTATTTTGTATTTTTTGTCGTCGCCGCCGTCTTTAAGTTCGACGTAGTCGTCGCGACGTCTGAGCTGGTAGTAATTGAAAATTTGAATTATTTTGCAATCAGCTGTCGTCCCGGCGGAATGGGGCACTGTGAATGCCCAGCTGAAGGGGGTCGCAAGTCGGCAGTGGGTGGGGCGGGGTTGGTGAGAACTCTTTATGTAAGTGCAGTTAAAGCGGCGTCTATGCTAAATAGCCTGGGCGTGGCCGGCTGAGGGCGCAGCTGGCCGACAAGACGGAGACACAATTTTATTATAGATATTATACATGGATCGGGCGATGTCCGTGACTTGGTGGCCGGTTCCGCTAATTTGTCGCCACTTATAAATTATTGATATGGCCCAGTCTCCACAGACGCCAATCGTTGCATATTTATGCAAAAGCCAAGCCAAAGTGGAAAAAACAAAACGAACGAATAAAATGCGAATGAAAACCGGGTACGACCGGCGAAAAATAGTGGGGGACAAACGGTTTCTTACCGTAGGAAAATATAATAAAGGTAAACAACAAGTTAAGTTAGGTAACTCGACAGTTTTTGAAAAGTAAGACTGGTTTAGGACCTGGACATGGCCTTAAAAGGGTGTAGCCCAAGGAATACCTGCTCTATTTTTGGTATATCTATGTATCTTTTCAATATAAGTTCATTTGTGGTACTCACTTCTGCATCGTCGGCACCTCAATACTGTTTTGGATGGTCCTGCGGCGTTCGCCACTCATGTCGGCGAGCCTGGCGAAGTCGGTGTCGCGATCCTGGTCTGCCAGACGGGCGGAGCGTCGCGATTCCAGCAGACGCACTTCCTCCAGGCGCTTCTTCAGCTCAATGGGTTCCTGCGGAGAGATAGATTGAAGAGTCGGGTTAGTCTGGGCATTGCCTTCTTATCGCCACAGTGCACTGAGGCTCGTCGTGAGTCACCACGCTTAAACAATTAAAGCGTACAACTTTATTGAGCATCCCATTAAAACTTAATGACCCAGTGTGGGCACTTTAGAGCGATTCCTAATTGAGAAAATGGCGACATGGAACACATATTCCTGGGGGTATCTGCATCTAACATTGTTGCATTGCATCCGTCACGCAAGGCAAGTGTTTCTAAATAATAGTATCTATTCGGCGGCAGGTTCCCCGGAAATCTGATTTGATTAAAGGCAAAAAAAAATGGTTCTGTAACTGTTTCCGAGAAGTGAAAACCAATTAAGTTATAGTTCACAGGGCACAGAAAAAAATGGGTAGAATTATAATGGATGATTCAAGGTTAATTACAGACCACCGTAAGCCCTCCTTATATATCTACATTCACCAGGTGAGCATGCAAAAAATCGAATAATAAAATGAAAAAAAACTTCCGAGGCGCGTGGGCGCTAATTGAGAAACCAAGTAAACTGCAATATCTATGGGATTTTAAGGGGCAACCTTGAATGAGGTCACTTGGTAACAATTGCGATATAGCCATATCCTTATGCAATCACCTTTTCGCGTATTTTCAAGATCTCGCCGCTCAGCAATTGATTGTGACACTTATTATGCCAAACATCTGCATTCAGTTATTTGTATATTGTATATTTATTTATAAACTTTTCTCTATTGCACTGCACCAGAACACGAACCGCAGCGAAATTAAATGAGACGAAAGGTGAGTATATTATTTTTTAGGGATTTATTTTTGTTGTTTTTTTTGTGTTTTGTATCTTTTGTTACGTATTATTCCGTCCAATCAACTGGGTTTAATTCCGATATTATTCCGTTGTCACTCGTAACAATTTGTTTTTCGCGTCTGGCAATTTGTTGAATGTGCGTTAATTGGGCACAAAAAGCCGGCCGGCAGCGTTGGCGGCTTTATAACGGTATTCGGGTGAAAATATGTCAGCGGTTTGGATTGGATTGGGTTCGCTATGCGTATCTGACGGATACGCCGCACGCACACGCACTCTCACACTAACACTCTCTCGCACGGCACGGCGCGTGTTTATTTTTAATTATTCAAATTTTCGCTTGATCTTCTTTGCTTTCTTTGCCTTCTGAATTTGGGCCACTAGGCCTCGTTCCTAATTTGTTTTTATAAGCTTTAAGAACTCCACTCGGCTCCTCTCACTCGCTGTCTTCTCACTTCACTTGCACTTTTCGGCGTTTTTTGCCAGGGCTTAGCTTTGCTTTTCCTCTCGGCTTGCCTTTGCCTTGCCTTTCCTACTTTTGCGATTTTCGGTCTTGCGAATTTGTATCTTGCGAATTTGTATCTTTGTATCTGCGGTCTGCTGGTGCGAAAGGTTCGCGCGCGCTTTCAAGAATGATTCTGTGCGCTGAAATCGCCGCACTCGTTCGCCGGGCTTCGTGCTTCGTTTTTCGCTCGGCTCTTGCACTCGGCTCGGCTTCGCTCTTTCTCGCGACTGCGCTCTCGCTCTCTTTTCGCGCTCTCGCGGCCATTTGGCATTGGCCATTTTCCGGTTCCTCGCTGCACGACGTTTGTTTTTGTTTCTCTGCTTTGTGCTGGCTTTTCGCATGCTTCGCCGTTTTGTTTATGTATCTTAATCTCTGCCGCACTGCGCCGCCGCGCTCTCTTTCACTCGAAAGCAGAGGGGGAAAAGCACTCACGGTCTCTCTCTGTCTCCGCTCCCCCGCAAAAGAGCGGATTTACGTAACGTAACTCAAAGATACAAGTGATATCGCCCCGTATCTTTGAGCTTTTCCGCAGGTATCGCAGAAAAACAGGCTTTATAAAAAGTATTTTCTTTCTGTAGCCGATCTCGCTTTGATTTAAGAGCTATTAACTTAGAGTTAAGAGAAATATCTTTTGCTTTATGACGTCGGGATGACGAAAGCGTTTATTTTAACCCTCTACTTCGCCGGGTTTTTTTTTACTGTTTACTGTTTTCTCTGTTTGCTGGCTTGCGCTTTTTGAGCCCAGCTCATGCTGGGATTTTTACACTTCGCCGGGGATTTTCGTTGGGTTTAGGACTTAATACCATCATCTTTATGCGGTGTTTATGGCGGACATACTAAAACTTGATGAAGCACTTGCACATGTAGTTCAATGGGGCGGGGGAGGGGCTAACGTAGAGTCGAGCTTGTCTAGCTTGAAACGCTATCCGCTGCATAAAATATTTACTGGGGGGCAACAACTCTGCACATTTAAAAACATTTAGTTTTTAGTTTTTTTTTCTAAAACCTGTTAACCCGTAAACACACTTTTGGAGTTGCAAACATCAAATAAAAAATGTTGTTTTTATAGTTTACCTATAACATGTACATAAATAACTTTATGAATAAAAAATGTTTAGGACGTTGCATGTCTTTGCTAAAAATTCTTTAAAGAATAACACAAAAACTAATTATTATTTTTTTGTGAAATAACTGTAAAATTTAACTTATAATCTTCTCCAAAATTGTTTTGAAAGCGTAAATAATGAAAGCATGTTCCATAGAAACTAAGTTCCAATCTAGAGTTATGAAAGTTTTATTGTAGAGAAGCTAAGATGATACTAAGGAAAAGTTTTCCCTGTGGGTTGAGCCAGATTCTCCGTTATTGGGTAAGGTCTTGCCTTATCAAAGGAAAGCTATGGCAAAAATTCCACAGAACAATATGTTTGCTCAGCGGTCTGGCAGACGGAACCCTATCGACAACAACAATGTGCGGTTCCCACAACCAGTTCTGGGTTATCGGGTCTTCTGCCATGCTCCATGCCCAATGCTCAAGTGAAAGTGGAAACTTGTTTGTCATTCGCTTCAAGACGGGGATTAAGTAGCGAGACCCCAATTTTAATTTTAAGCGAAACCAAAATATTTGGTCAGAGAGTGAAAAGCGGTTCTGGTCGCCCGATTATGCTGACCAACAGCGCTGATAGCCGATGGATGATAGCCGGCTATCTGGGACACCCTCTGGCCTTGCTACCTCGCCGCAAAAACAGAAACAAAAACAACGAAAGTGGGCAAAACCGCGCCTGGGAATACCGCTCGGGTACGTTAACGATTACGATTCCGCAGACAGAGTCATACAAATGTATGTGCACTGATAAGGGGTCGAGATAAGGATGACCAGACCGCAGGGGCGGGACACAAAAGGGGTGGTGCTCGGTAAACAACAGCGATCGGACGATGCAGTACGTGTATCTGTCAGATACTTAAAATATACTTTTATTGCCTGCGCGCATGCGCTGAAAATTTGTCACTTCCCATCCGACCAGCCTCTCATTATGTTGTTTATTAGGCAAACATGTCCAACTTCCCCCGCCCATCCCATCTCCCTTCTGATCACTGGTGATCACTTTGAAATGCGTGAACGCGTGCCGGAAACCTGAGACGCATGCGAATTCGTCAGATAGTCGTAAATATTCTCCGTTTGCCTTCGGTGGCGAAATGAGTTGAAATGAGCTCAACTTTTGGCAAAGCGATTCGGATTTCGTATTGGTGTCTTGTCTGGTAGTCAAAAATGTGTCGGAAGTGGGGCTAATTATGGGTATCGATTGCGGGAAAGACAAATATTTGCTTGGTAATGGAGTTTCACAAATATTTGCATAAAAAGAAATTGGTTAGGTTGCCTAATTGTGTCAGAACAGAGTTAGATAAAAATAGATTTTGAGGGCTATTAAAACTGATTCGCTTTTTCCGAAACCATTAAAGATATAGCCAGTACTAATTTCCGCATTTCTAAACCCATTCAGAGCAAGGACAATGATATTGAAAGATTAAATCGAATACTCGCTTGTTTCGACTTAATTTATGACTTCCAATAGAGGCACCCCTGCTGGAAAAGCATCTCCAGTCCATAACGTTGATCACTCATTGCCCCGATGATCGTGTGCACCCCCTGGCTGCTTTAATGTCCAAGTGCACCCCCCGGGGGCAGTGAGCACCGCAGCCCACCCCTCTGCCAGCTGGCTACCGCCATTGACAGCCAGTTAAACCCAATTAAAGGCTATCTATATCTGTATCTGTAGCTGTTGCTGTGGCTGTATCTGCGAGTATTCTGCGACTGGCCAGCAAATTGCCGTATCCATGACAGGCGCACTCCACTCCGGAGACCGAAGTTTGTTTTCCGCTTGCCTCATTTGTTTGACTAGCCCATGTTGGCCCAGAAGGTTGCTGCAGCTAATTGCCCATTACCTTGGGCCGAGGCAGTTTTTATTTGAGCTAACTGCAGCAAGTCAAAGACTTTCAAATGCCAGTCGACCGTTATTGTTGTTGTCTGTTGCCAGCTGCCGCCAATGACGACGTCGTCTTGTGCAATTATCCCTCCTGCACTGCAAAGTATTTCGATAACTTGGCTAATGAGGAGTCAATTAAACTGGTATTTTTTGTTAAAAGAAATATATATTATGTGACCTTTACAACTCTCAGAAAAACATTACTTTAAATGAAAACAATGTGACAATCCTTCGAGTTTCGAGAAACCTATAGCATATCTATACAGATTTCATTCTATACATAAAAATGTCAAAAAAATTGATCTGTGTATGTGACATACCTTTATAAAATAAATCCTGTGGGTTAGGCGAAAGATATGCAAGTGTCATAAGACCATGGTCATAGCTTAATGTTCGCATTGATATGGTATACCAATACGTGATATTTTTTAATGCAAGATTTGTTTTTGAATTACTAATAATTTTAAAAATATTTAAAAATAGTCATATTTGTATGATCCAGAGGGTACCCAATGCTTTGTTATATGATAAAACATATTAGATTTTTATTTTCTTCTAGCAATATTATACAGAAAGTGATCAGCATTTTATTTCCAGTGTGATCCCGGCTGCTGCAATTTTCGCAAGAATATGCGAGAGTTGCCCACGTGCCAAAATGGTTTGAGCAGCGCAATTTGGGTTAATTGTCTGCG